AGTCATTGCATCTTCCGACATCGTCAGCCCGCAGGACACGCGACGCGATCGCCGTTCCCGTATCACCCAAGCCCGCGCGCCCCAGGTAAGCTGTCGCACACCTGCGCTCTGCACCCGGCACCTGGTGCCTGCGCTCGCCAAAGGGGCAAGAGGGAGAAAGGGGCTGGGCCGCAAAGTTTGCCCCTAAGAATGAAGTGGGGAGGCGCTTTCCTCCTAGGGACCAGGAGCGGTCCCGGCCAAGGGCGGGTATGGGGTAAGGACAGCTCAGGCAGGAGGGTCGCAGGGAGGGTTACCGCACTTTCGGGCCAGGGCGGTGGAGCCGGAGGGTGGCCCTGGAAAGTCAGTAGGGTTACCAGAGGCCGGGGCAGGACCACGGGGGCGGGGGGACGGGGGGCGGGAGTGGTCGCTGGGAAGGGGCAGAGCCAACTCCCCTACTGCTCTGCCTTGGATCTGAGGTGTCAGGACAGATCCAGCCTGGGGAGAAGCGACCTCCTGCCTCCTTCACTGAACAGTGGACTCAGGAACTGTTTGTTTTTTTTGGGGGCGGGGAGGCACCTTCGGCAGGAGCCAGTGCCTCGTTGGAGGACTGCTCTCTAGTTGACGGCTAGACTACTCTCTAGCCTCCTGCTAGCTCAGTTCCCTGTGGTGGAGGTCTAGCCCTCTGACTCTGCAGACACCCCTCGGGTGTTCTCTCTCCCACAGCCTCTCTTCTCTCCATTCTCTGCCCTCTGCCTGTGGGTGTCTGTCTTCACCCCCCCCCCCACAGCCCCACTGGGTCCCCGTATTCTTCCTCTCGGTCTCTACTTCATTTGAGTTACCAGTCGCCCTCCCTCCCTCTTTGCCCGCACCGAGCACCTCCTCGCCCTCCCCTCTCCCAAGTAGTATTAAGTGTCCTTAATGGACACGTTAATTAAACTGTAATTAATCATACTGTCCAGCCCAAGTTTGAACAATTACCCTAATCAAACAGAAGTTAATAATGGCAGGGATGGCCTGGGGCGCGGCGGGCCGCCCGGGCAGGGGGCGCAGCGGCCCTGCGGTACCGGACTGTGGCAGCGGCGGGCGAGCTTGAGCGCGTCCTTGGGGAACCCGGGGCAGCACAATAAAATCTTTCCGGGGGCCGGGGGGGCCCCGGGGGGGCTTTCCCCGGCCCCTTGGTTTTCCTTTCCCCGTCCCGGGTTAAAGGGCCCTCCTCCCCCCCCCGGCATTCCAAGCTCCCTTTGGGGGTTGGTCCCCCTTTTTTTTCCCCATTTTTTCCCCTTTTGGGTTTTCCCCCCTGCCCCATTTTGAAAAAGGTTTTGGGGGATGGCGAG